GAGAAAAAAGGCCTTGAGACACACATGTGTGTGTGTGGTGCAGTGGCCCTGGCCTAGAGTGAGGAGAGCGGATCTGTTTTGAATCCTCATTACCTCATCTATTTGTTCATTAATTTTGTCTTGGCCTTGTCCATCATCATCAGCTTCTGCTTCTTCCTTCTTATCGTGCTGGTTTTTATCTCTGTTTGACTTCCCAGAATCCAAGTTGTCATCTTTAGCAACAAGTCCACAATCTTCCTAAATGTCACAGGCAGAAAACACAAAGAATCATCACTCTTGATCTAAAAAACTGCTGACACATGCTGGCTCTACCTAATGTAGCAGTTAGGTGTGTAGAATTCCTGTCTGCTGGGCCTATCCTCTGAAGTATCCAGATGACAGGGCATCGTCCATGACCTGGAGAGAACAGTCTGGGTCTGTCCAGACAGCAGTAATAGCAGGTGTGTGAACAGCATGCTGGGTCAGGCTGAGCTGCTACAGTGTCACATCCAGCCTGAGAGTTCTTTTACTGTTGTTGTTTGTTAATTCCCACCCAAGGATATCTTTTCTATTGATTTTTTAGAGAGAGTGGAAGGGAGAGAGGTTTTGGGGGGGGGAGGGGGAGAAGAGAGAGGATGGCAAAAGGGGTAGAGAGGGGAGCGGGAGAGAACCATCGATGTGAGAGAAACGCATCAACTGGTTGTCTCCTGAATGTGCCCCAACCTGGGTAGAGATCAAACCTACAACCAGTTACATAACCTTGACCAGAAATCAAACCCAAGACCCTTTAGTGTGCAGGCTGACGCTCTAACCACTAATACACACTGTCCAGGACAAGCATGGGGGTTCTAAACAGGAAGCTGGAGAAGTTCCATGGCCAGCAGCAGAGTAAGAGCATGTAAATGGAGTTTCCTTAACTTCCCTTCTTTATAACACATGGGATAGCTTAGGTCAATCTACTCTTTTGGCTCTGAATCAATGAGTAAAATATATAGCAGAGATAAAAGAAAAGATAGAAGAAAGAGAAGCAAAACAAAGGAAAGGAAAAGCAGTAAATGAGAGGGAGTGGTGGCTGGGAAAAACGATCTCCCTTCAACCTGGGGGCTATGGGATGGGGGAATTTTTGCATTACCTCATCCATTCCTGGTCCTGTTTCTTCCGTTTTGTTGTCTTCTTCTTCCTCATCTTCCTCCTCATCATCATCACCCCAAAGCCTCTCATCTAGTTTGTCAGCTTCCTCACCATTCAGATCGCCCATCTGTTTATCCAGGTCTCCGCCCTCACTGTCTGATTTCTCATCCTCCTCTTCTGAAAGGGAAGGCACTGAGCTTAGTTAGGCAAACCTGGTCCTGTGTGTGTAGGGGAGGCCTGAACCTACTACCTGGTAAGAGCCCAGTCTGGGACTTACTGCCTGCTTCTACAGAGCACTCTACTGGCAGAAGCCTTCAGATCTGCTGCAGTAGTCCTACTGCGTTTCGGAAACTAAAGAAACAAGGAAGTCTGTAGTGTGCCATGTTAACAGACCATTAGAAGGACGGTAGAATAGCTGTCAGAATGTTTAATACTGGTGCTGGGGGAACATTCATTAGGGGCTCAGCAACCATACTTTTTAAATTTCTTATCTGTAAAATGGTAAGAGTTGGCCTATTACATTTCCAAAGTCCCTTCCCTATCCCCAATATACTATACATCTATGGTTTTATCCAACACCTAAAATCATGTGCATAGCTTAATCAGAATTTTCTTGCCACTATCTTTGCTTAAGTTCCACTATGTCAAAGTTATAACCTTACTAGAAGCCTGGTGCATGGATTCATGCACTGGTGGGGATCGGGCCAAATAGTCCAACGCCACCTACTGCTCCTGCTCATCCCAGCCTTGCTGTACCTGCTGTGGGCTCACACCCAGTCAGTCCCATTTGGGAGAGGCTCGCTGTGGCAGTGCTTGCCAGCCAGCCGTGAGCCCTGTATCTGGTACCCGTGGGTCAACTAAGCAGTGCTCCTGCTATGGGAGCACACTGACCACCAGGGGGCAGCCTCTGCATTGAGCAAATTCCCCCTAGTGGTTAGTGTGCCTCATAGTGACCAGTCGTTCAGTCACTTATGCTTTTATATTTATAAATGCTGCTTAGGCAAGTGTACACACTTCTACTCTGAGGTCACCCTGCATTTCTGCTAGATATTTGCTTAGAAAAAGACACTATATCTCAAATTCATCTTTGGACAGAAACTTAGGGCAATAGTTGAACTATGGAACAAACATATAACAGATGATGATGTGCTATAAGAAACTACCATGTTTCCCCAAAAATAAGATATCCTCTGAAAATAAGACCTAGTGCATGGAAAGATAAGACATCCCCTGAAAATAAGACCCAGCGCAACTTTGGGAGAAAAAAATTAATATAAGACACTGTCTTATTTTCAGGGAAACAGGATATATTCTCAAGTAATTTTTAATGACAAGGGGAATGTTCATAATACATTAATAAATGCCTAGGTGGCCCTCGTGTACAACATCGTCACAAGAAGGCTATCACAGGATGGCCACGTGCACAGTGGAGGTGGGACCCAGTGGCTGCTCCGCACAGTGAGGCCTGGGGGTCCTGTGGCTCTGCACATAAGCAGGGGTCCTGACAGAGGACGACAGTTTTGGGCAATTGGGCCGGCAGGGGAGAGCAGGTGGGGGCAATTGGGGGCGATCAGGTTGGCAGGGGAGCAGTTAGAGTGCAATCAGGCTGGCAGGCAGAAGTGGTTAGAGGCAATCAGGCAGGCAGGTGAGCAGTTAGGAGCCAGTGGTCCGAGATTGTGAGGTCCACCAGGGATCAGTCCTAAACTGGCAGTCATACATCCTGAGGCCTCCTCCCCCCCAACAACCGTGCACCAATTTCATGCGCTGGGCCTCTAGTATCTATACTAATAAAATGATAATATGCAAATTAGTCAGGATGCCCTCACAGTAATGACCGTACAACAGGCTGTGGGGGATGACAAGGCTGGCAGGGGGATTAGTGAGGGATGACCAAAGGACTGAACAGCAGGCTGAGTGGGGTGGGCAGTGAGGGGCGATCAGGACGGCAGAAGGGGTAACCAGGCTGGCAGAAGCAGGGGACAGTTAGGAGTGATCAGGCAAGCAGGCGAGCAGTTCGGAGCTAGTGGTCCCAGATTGTGAGAGGGATGTCCAACTGGCAGTCAGACATCCCCTGAGAGGTCCTGATTTGGAGAGGGTGCAGGCTGAGTTGAGGAGACCCCCCCCCCCATGCACTAATTTCGTGCACTGGGCCTCTAGTATATATGTGTGTATATCTATCTATCTATCTATAGATTATATATATATATATATATTACATATAAGGCTAATGTGCTAAGTGTCTCTCCATCCAACTGGTGGGTATGCCACACACTGACCACCAGGGAGCAGGTGCTCAATGTAGGAGCTATTGAGCTGCAGTGACTTGGCAGCAGTTCTTGGTGACACATCCCAAAACTAGAGAGAAGGGTGCCCGATTCCTCATAGGGCCGCATGATTCCACCTTCAGCCATGGGTTATGTTGTTGCTGGGGCACTGTTGGCCCCAAATCTGGTTTATTGCACACTTGCATTTGCATTCCACACCCTGTACAACAGCAACTTTGCAGAGTGCCCTCATGAATCCTGGACCCCTCAGGAGATGTTGATAGACCTGGTTTCGGCCCAATCCCTGCAGGCCAGGCCAAGGGACCCCCACCTACCGGAGGAACCTTGCTCACTCTGCAGATGCTGGGAAGGGACCGAGGAAGGTTGGCTCAAGGGCGTGACCAGCCTGTCTCTCCCAGTCCTGCCGCATTGGCCATCTTCTAATTAATTTCTTTTCAATGTGCATGAATCCATGCACAGGGTCACTAGTGTGTGTGTGTGTTTGAGTATTTGGATGATTTGAAGGGTAGGCCTAAGGGGTATGTATCTATTTCATTCCTGCATTTTTGTTCCAAATAGTCTACAATAAATATCTACTATTTTTGTATTTATGGTGGAAAAGTTAGCTTTAAAAACTATCCTGAACAATTTACTTTTGAGCTAAGGGCCCCACCAGGATTGCCTCCTTTCTCTCCTGACTTCTCCTTTCACACACTGCATTTAGCAATGAAGCAGCAGGAGCACCAGCCAATGTCTCAGGTTCCTAAGAGAAGAATCATCAAAACTGCCTATGGACCTCCACCTGGGTGGAGATGGTGATGGTGCATGCTAACTGCTAATGTCCTCATTTGTAGTTATGCAGAATAACCAACTTGGTCCAAAAGATTCTAATAAAACAACAGGCTCCTTTTGGGGAACACATAACTTTCTATTTTAAAAAATTATTTTTCAAAAGCAAGAATGCAGTGAGATAAGTCTCAAACCTTGTTCTTCAAGCTCCCCATCATGCATCTTCCCATCAAAGTCTTCTGACATCTCAATGGCGTTATCCTCTCCCTTAATGTCTGATTTTGAGTCAGGATCCTCTTTATCCTTTTCTTGACCCTTCTGAAATGTATCTTCTGCCTGCATCAAAAAGCATAAAGAAAATACAAACAAATGTAAGTTAACTAATGTTTATTCAGTTTTAAATAGAATATAAATATGTATGTAAATGCTAAGGTTAATGGCATAAAGTTATTTCTGGGAAGAGAAAAAGAACAGATAACCACACAATAATTTCTCATTTGCTATGAGGTTTCTATAGTTAACCTTTGACTGGAATCGAACCTGGGACCCTTCAGTCTGCAGACCGATGCTGTATCCACTGAGCCAAACCAGTTTCAGCTATTGATTTTTTACAGAGAGAAATGGAGAGGGATGGAGAGTTAGAAACATTGGTCAGGTGCCTTCTGCACAGCCCCCATTGGGGATGTGCCCGCAACCAAGGCACATGCCCTGGAACCAAACCCGGGACCCTTCGGTCGGCAGGCCGACGCTCTATCCACTGAGCCAAACTGGTTTTGGCTTGTTGTGGTTTTAAGTGAAAATTTTTTTAAAGAATCCAGACATTTAAAAAGAATATGTGAAAAGGGCTTCTGTCCTGAGTGGCACAAGAAGAGCAGCCTAATTGCTCTACATGTGGAATCAGGATCAAGAGATTTCAGAAGCATAGTTTTTTGGTACTTGGGCAGCTGGTGATCGTTGGTCCTGGTGCCCGCAAAATAAATAATAAATAAAATGAAAATTAAAAATAAAAATATGTATTCTCTGTAGTATAAAATAAAAAATAAAAATATGTATTCTCTGTAGTATAAAAAAATTCATCAATCTTACTGCCCATATCTCTCTATATAAAAGGCTAATATGCAAAGTGTCCCCATAGGAGTTCGACCGGGAGTTCTATTGCTCACTATGTGTGGTGACCACCAGGGCGTGGTGCAGAACAAAGGCAGGCACAGGTCAGCAGCTGGCAGCCAGAAAAGGGAAGCCCCAGCTGGCAGCTGGAAGGCCCCGATCAGCCCTGATCGCTGGGCAGAACTCAGGACCTTACCTGTGCACCAATTTCATGCACCACTCTCATAGACAGTAACACACTATGAATGCAACTTTGTTCACTTCTCCTTAACCTATATATTCCTATATACTCTATGTGATACTTGGGGTGAAAGATTCATGACTGTTATCTCTCTCATTGTGAATGAATTTTTAAAGTCCTTTTTTTTAAAATACAAAAGTAATAAAATCTTATTAAAAGAATTCTAAGCACTATGTAAAGAGTTAAGTTTCCCATGGCACCACCATCTTCCAAAACTTCCAAAGAAATTACCATCAATAACATTCTGGTGCATCTTTTTATTCATGAATACATCATAAATATTAATACAAGTGTTATGTATCAATACCTGCCTCCTGACATCTTTTTAAATAAAAAAAGGATTAATACTTTACAAATTGGAGATTTGCTTTTTTAATTTAAAAAATGTCTTTTAGATATATTTCCATGTTAATACATATAAATCTAACTCATTACAGGACTGCTCTGCATATTATCTTTGATCCTTATTAGCATTTCTATAAAAAATGGAATTCCTAAGTCAAAGAAGATAACACAATTTAAAATTTATTATATAGTGCCAATTTTTTTTTAAAATCCTGCCTCATGTTTTTTGTTTTGTGTTTGTTTGTTTTTTTTGCATTGGGTTGTATTTTTTCTATTAAGCTTACTCTTTTTTTACTCTAAATTTCTTAATATTAGCAAAGTACTATATGTTAAGTTAGACTTGAGAAATAAAAAAAAGCCAAAAGCCAACCTTTTTATTTTTAAATGGACTATTACCAAAAATACTTTAGAAAAATCAACAGCAACAATTTCCCCATTTAAAACTTTTATTTTTTTCCATTTAAAACTTTTAAATCACCTCTCTCTCAAAGCCATAAGCAGTGACTGAGTTGCAAAGTTCCTTTCTGTGATCTTTATACTTTTTATTTACACCCACTCACCACACCCGAGTATTCTTCAAGGTCCACAGATTTCAGTTTGAAAACCATTGACATTTATGCCAGTAATTTAACTATTAAAAAGAAAGGGGAAGAGGATCGGTCTTCTGTAAACTTTATGCTTCAGTCATGTGAAACGTACCTGTTCTTCATTTTCTATCTTGTCACTCACATCCTTCATGCCTTCACCTTCTCCAATTCCACCTCCTTCATAGTCATGGAACTCAGTTGCCCCCTCACCTGCTGAATCTTCCATAAATTCTTTGGGCAGGCAAAATCCCTTGAACATAAAAGAGTGAACAGTTAGGCAATACAGAAGGGGATTTTCAGTCCTACCACACACACAAAAATTAAAACAAATGCTTAATTCTTTCCTAGCTCAGTATTTTAAATCTGATAAAAATACAGTAGGCCTTTGACGTTCTTTTCATCCTTGGTGATAACAGTTATTACCCTGTTTCCCCGAAAATAAGACCGTGTCTTATATTAATTTTTTCTCCCAAAGTTGCGCTAGGTCTTATTTTCAGGGATGTCTTATTTTCGGGGAAACACGGTACGTAGTTTCAAAGCCTGACATCAGATTTAATATATGAGGTTCTGACTTTGAAGAGGCCTCTAGTGTGTGGTTAATTTGTCATTTTGCCAAGACAGAAATTTGAATAATGTATATTAGGGAAAGTATTTAAAAGGAGCAAGTCAGAGAGTAGACTTCTCAATGTCTAAATCCCAAAGGGGTTTTCTCTTCTTATTTTCTTCTGAAATTAGTAAGCCTAAGAAAAGAGGGAGAAGACATGTACCCCTGGAGGTACAACTTAAAGCAGATGCTACAAGAGGGAGGTTTCATTTTTTACTTGAAAAATGGAAATTGTGCGCTAGCTGGTTTAGCTCACTAGATAGAGCATTGGCCTGTGAACCGAAGGGTCCCAGGTTCCTAGGGTCCCAAGGGAATGTATCTCAGTTGCAGGCTCCTCCTTGGCCCAGGCCCTGGCTGGGGTTCATACAGGAAGCAACCAATAAATGTGTTTCTCGCACATTGATATTTCTCTTTCCCTCTCTCTGAAAATTAATGGATAAATATCCTTAGTGAGAATTAAATTTTTTTTAAATGGAAATTTTGGGCAATGTTCCTTAAATAAAATTTTAATATGTTAAAAAATATGACTTCCCCCAGCTCTTAAAGCAAACCTGTCCCTCTTGGGGAACATGGCAACCCTGGCTGCCACCTGGCACTTGGAACAATGTGGAGTCTAGACCAATGGTTCTCAACCTTTCTAATGCTGCGACCCTTTAATACAGTTCCTCATGTTGTGGTGACCCCCAACCAAAAAATTATTTTCGTTGCTACTTCATAACTGCAATTTTGCTACTGTTATGAATCGTAATGTAAATATTTGTGTTTTCCCATGGTCTTAGGCTCTACAGCAGCGGTTCTCAACAGAATGACATACCGTGTCCCTTTTTGCCCCGTCAAGTTCCCCACCCATACCCCAGGCCTTTAGCACCCTATTATCTGTGTCCATGGGTTATGCATATACACATACAAGCTCTTTGGTCCAACCAACTTCAAGTTCCCTCAGCACTACTCAGAAAGGATACGAATAAATTCAATATGGACATAAAAATAAAGGAAAGGCAAACTCACTTTCAGGATATGTATTCTTAGAAAGTCAACTGAAAATACATTTTTGTTAACTTACCTAATTTTCCCATTGAGCTACATTATTTTTTAAAAAACTACATTCAGATGCAGGCAGAATAAGACCACACAGGAAAGATTCAGATGTCCTGCAGGGCACTCCACTACAGTAGCTGCAGCTGGGACAGCCGCTGGGCTCCCAACACCTTGCTTATATCAGAACCACTTCCTTCTCCACAACACACCCCAACGTATACACAAGTCAGAAGGCCAAAATCATTCTAGAACCTATTAGACCAATACAATGTGCAAGTAGACAAAACGCAGCTAACCCAAATACCAGGGCACCCTCACCATACATTGTCCTGCTACCGTAATTTGCATGTGTGTCACCCACCACCAAGAAATGATGGGATGTGTAAGACTGGCTTAGTGCTCATCAGACAGAGGGGGCAAATCAGAGATGCATCCATTTATTTATTACTCAACAAATATACATATTTATCCTCTAGAAACAAGGCATGTGCTTGCCTTCCATTCTTGGACCCTTTTCAGTACTCCAGATCCTCAGAACTAGGAACTCTCAACTGTTTAAGAAACCTAGACCCTAGCTTCAGTTTGTAAATTTTTATCTCCCTCAAATGAGTCTCATCTGTACTGTACTTAGATTTGGAGAAAATCTTGGAATACTAAAGAAATAAAAACAAAACAAAAGTGTACACATTCAATTGAAATTATCACAAAAATGCTAAGTGTATAGCCAGTTCTCATTTTACAAATGAGGAAAGTGAGGTTTAGAGAGGTCAAATGAGTAACTCGAGAAATCATAATCAGGTTACCACACCATGCTCAGTCTGTTAGATTTGGCTGTCTCCTGCTGGGTGCAGGGGCTAAATGAATGAATGCATGAATGAGAGATTTCCCAATTAAAAAAAAAATGCTCTAGCTAAATTAAAAGCCCCATTACCATTTCATCATAATTACATATAAATGATTTAAAGAAAACTTAGCCTTACAGATTCATCTATTCTAGAAATCTAGCTTGGAGCTAATTGAAGAAGACTTCAATCTGGGGACAAGGAGAGAAGGGTGTGAAAAGCTGCAGCCATTAGACAGCCTCTGGAGTCTAGGGAGATCATCAGTGAAGGGTCTGTAGATTCCAAGACTACAGTTGAAATAGGCTTATTAAAAGGGTGCCAGGCAAAGCTTTACATTAATAATCCACAGGGAGAGCAAATTTGAAGGTCTGAAATAAAAGCCCGTCCAACAAACACTAATGGGTACAGAATGCTCCAGCTACCCACGGTGCTCCACATGAGCAGTCCTTACCTTCTGAGCAAGCTCCGAGAAGACCTGGGTGAGCACAGAGAGAAGCTTTGCAGTGCTACGATGAGTTGCCAAAGACATGGTCAGGAAGAAGAGGACGAGGTCCGAGTACCTTGAGAGCATGGGCAGCAGGCGCACCAACCAGCAGCAAGACTGGCTGAAGAACTGGGGGCAAAGCAGATCAGAAGGCCTGGTCACACTGCTAAAGGGGGACTGGGTTTTCCTTGGAGTGATAATAAATTGGTTGTAACAACACTATGAATTCAAGGTACTAAATGTCACTACTGGTAGGGGTTATGTATTTTTAACATGCACAAACACCTGCTCACTGAGATTTCTTCCTTGTTCACACAACGTACACTTTAAATTCTCAGTCACTTCAGTCTCATTTAATTAACAAAGTTTTTTTGTGTTTTTTTTTAAAATAAAATGTTTATGAACAAATTTCATTGGGAATCAAAGTTGGCACTGGAGGCAATGATACAGAATGACATTCAGTATCCTACAAAGTAAGTTGCCTCTCAGGACTTAATGGATTTGACAGCTGGCTTAGTGGGAAAAGATGGTATTTGCCGTGTGGCCACTAAACTTCAGTTAATGGCAGCAAACTGAACATCGAATACTCAGGAGAATGTGGTTAAGATACAAAATACCAAGATAATGAATATCCTGGATTGCTAGCATTTTTGTATTTAGGCATCTTACAACTGTAACTCTTAGCTAACAAACCCTAAGCTTTTCAGTTTATCAATGGCGTTT